TCGTTGTCGACGCGGTGGACGTGCTTCCCTCGGCGTGCAACATCAATCGATTAATTTGTGTTTCCTCGCCTGCGATACGCTCGGGACGATAGAACGAATCAATGAGCGCATTGCCAAAGTCCGAAGGGTGATGAGGAAGAGGAGCGCTCTTCGCTCGGGGTGTCGCCACTCGGGCCCGGGGGCCCTTGGCGAAGGGGCTCCCGCTCTGCAAGGGGGGGCTGGAGAGGGGGGAGGGGGGGCTGGGAAGCTAGGTGCGCTCGCGTAAATCTCTTTGCTATTCGCGCAATCGGATGTTGTAGCATGGCATAGCATTACATGGCATAGCATGGTGTTGAAGATCAACGCGTAGCATGACATAGCATGGCGTGGCGACGCGCCAAAGAGGGGGGCTTCTGCGGCCCCAAAAATCAACGAATCGACACCTAATGTGTAATCACTTCCGATGGTTTCTTCGGGAGGCCATTTTTTAGATTTTGGGGCCTATCTGGAAGGATCGAAACCATGCCGTGGTATGGCACTGGAAATAGGACGCCAGCGCTGCAGCGGGAGCACGATTCGGAACGAGCGGAAGCGCGGAAATGAGGCCAGCGCTGCAGCGGGAGCACGATTCGGAACGAGCGGTGGCCCGAAAATGAAGCCAGCGCCTCAGCGAGAGCAGCATTTTGAAACAAAACCCAAGCGAAAACCCGTTTCCCGGGAATCCTGTGTGTAAAAAAACCAGTACGCGGAGGGGGGGGGGCCGGCCATTGCCCAGAAGTCGCCAGGGGAGAGAGGAGTATAGTATCCATATTGTGTAATTGTAGAGGGGAGGGGTAAGGGAGGGGAAGGGAAAAGGGGAGGGGAAGGGGAAGGGAGGGGGAGGGGAAGGGAATGGGGAGGAATGGGAAGGCAAGGTATGGCCTCCTCCTTCTTCCCCTCGTCCTCGTCCGCCCGCCCGTCTTCCCGATAGACAAATAGCTCCTCCCTGTCGCACCCCGAGACGTGTTGGTAGGGCGGGCCGGGCGTTGCGCGTGAGATTTCTTCCCCATTAAGGCCCCTCAAGACAGCTTCACGGATGGAGGGCGGGCGGTTTTTCAAAATGTGGTTTTCGCCCCAGCGCCGCACACATTCGTTTTACAAGTTTGCGCGAGCTTCAAAGATGGAGGGCGGGCCGTTTTCAAAATGTGGTTATCGCCTTAGCACCGCGCACATTCGTTTCAAACGTTTGTAGGAGCTTCACGGATGGAGGGCGGCATCTTTTCAAAGTGTGGCTCTCGCTTCAGCGCCACGCACATTCGTCCTAAGAGCTAACTGCAGCTTCAAGGATATGTCTGACGTCCCAGGAGTGGCGTTTTGGCACGGTATGGAATTGTCAGGGCGCATCAGCTAGGTTGTTTCCCGGTGTTGAAGTCTCAGGAATGGTGTTCTGGCAAGGTTTAGGATCTTCCGGATGCAACCGTAACGTTAATTCGCGGCGTTGAAGTCCCAGGATTCGTGTTCTGGCGCGGTTTAGGACTCACAAACGATTGTCTTTAAAGCAAACTACTTCCCACAGTGAAATGAGAATCTTTGTAGGGACCAGGAAGAAGGAAGTTGTAGGGAGGGTGTATCGCAACATCCTTGATGAGTCTTGGGTTTGCACTGGCCCTCCTCCTCCTCCTCCTCCTCCTCCTCCTCCTCCTCCTCCTCCTCCTCCTCCCCTTTGCCCGTCTCCCCCCGCCTTTCCTCCTCTGGTGCGGTAGGGTCGCGCCGCGTTGACGTGGCGGCGGCCCCAGCGCGAGCTTTCAAGGCTGAGCGCAGCCACCGGCCCGAGATCAGCCAAAGGTTGGGGGATACCAGGGAAGCGCGTGCAGAAGTATTTTCGTGGTTGAGTTCTGCAAGCGGTTTTTTGAACGAGCTCCAGCGTGCTGTTTTCGTGAGCTCATTCAACGCATCTGCAGTTACAGTCAACCCGCATAGTATCGATGGGCAACCTTCCCAACGGTACCCTTGCATCCTTGCCTCCTCGGTCCATCCTTCGCCACTTTCGTTGGCCGCGACCCGCTCGCAGAGCCTCGAAATGGGCGTCCAAGGCCCTTGCATCCTTACCGCGCATCCGTACTGTAAAGGTTGCCTGTAGTTCACCAGCAGTTTTCTGCATGGGTCCGAAAATCAGTGTCAGCTCATTCGGAGACGGCGCGGCCGCCCGCCCTCCCCTGGCCACCCGCCAGCCTCCTCGCACCCCCGCCGAGTCGGAGATCAACGTCGACTCCCTGGAGGAGCTGGCGGTCTCGGCCTCGACGGCCGCGGCCATACAGGACACCTGGGCCGGGCCCTCGGCTCTCCCCGATCTGCCGCCTGGCTCGGCGGCGCGGGCGAGCACCCAGGGGCGCGTCGCGCGAGGAGGCGGGCCCAGGGAGGCACCTCTTCCCCCGACGGCCTCCGAGGCCCTCTTGGACTCCTGCCGGGGCGCCCCACCGGGGAGCTGGACAGACACGGCGTGGTCGCCCTGGCCGAGGGCTGGGCACGCATGCGGACAGGTGTCCTTCCAGCGCTCGGCCTTCCCAGGCCAGGCACGCAGGGCTTCCGCACGTCTATCCAGCGCGTGGCCTCCAGATGTCACACATGCGCAGCTACGTGGCAATAGCTGCGTGGTCGACGAGGCAGTCCGCCTGACTTTCTGGAGACTTCCCCCAAGTCGTGTTTTCAACATGTTTTCCCGAAACGTTGCTTGCACTTAGGGGTTCTTGCTGCGCTGTCTTATTTTGGTGGGCGTGGCGAGATGCCGCCTGGTGGTTGGCCGTGGGCGCCTCGTGAGCGCCGCGTGCGCTGGGCGGGTGTGTTAAGGTTTCGCCCGGTCGGCGTCACGTCGACGCCCCGTGCGCTGGGCGGGTGTGGCCAGGTCTCTCGCGTGGACGGCCGTGGGCGCCTCGTTGGCGCCACACAGCTTACATCAGGTAGGTGCCTTCTCATAGCTTGCACCACGTAGCTCGCACAGCGTATCTCACACCGCATGCGGTTTATCATACAATGTCACAACAGCTTACGTCACGTAGCTTGCGCCGCACAGCCTATTGCTTACACCAGGTTGCTTGCACCACATAGCTCACGCACAAACAAAGTGCAATCACTGACTGTTTGGGGCTCACGCTGGCCAACCTCTTCTGGGCATTCCATATGTTCGTGTGGTGCTGGCCAGTCGGCGCCTCGTGGGCGCCCCCGTGAGTTGTCCCGGTTTTTCGCGTTTTTCGCCTAATGCTTTCCCCTGGGCGCCCCGTGAGCTCATCGTGTGTTGGCTCGGCGGTCCGGTTTTTGACCGGATGTTCGGCACGTGCCCATCCCTTGGGCGCCTCGTGGGCGCCTCTTGCGCTGGCTAGCGTTTCCGGATGCCCACGCAGCTTCTGACACATCTATCATTTTGGAGTCTCCCTTTCTGCTGAGGCCAGACTTGCCAATTCATCGCCGCGCGTTCGCTTTGCATATCTCTTCTGCACGAGCGTTCTTCGCAAAAATCAGAGCACACCATCCCAGCCAGGCCCCTTTTCGACCTTTTCGTCCTGATCGTCCTTGTTGAACGATCTGTACCTGGCATTCGGGGCACTCGTTTTTGATCTCACCAGCAAATGTTCCATGCTGGCCACGCGCACGCGAACCCCCCGCCCCCGGGGCTCAAAATTTCACAACCAGGCAACAAAGTGTTTTGTGTTTCCATGCACGTTTCAAGTCGTGTATCCCAAACAGCAATATGCTTCTGCTGTGCAAGCTTCGAGTCTATGCGCGCTGTATCTTACTCAAGTCATTCGAACTTCATGCATCGCCGTCTTGCCATTCTGTTAAATACGTTAATGCGGGCCATGCGCGCGCAAGGCGAATCTTCAAACGATCATTGCGCACCCGCCAACTCCGCCAACTAATTGCGTCAGGGTTCCCTGGGCTTCTTTGTGGTGGGTTTCTCGTGGATCGGTCTCCACCGTATCATGCGGGCTACGCGCGCGTCACCGCGCGCGCGTGCCAAATCGATTGCAGAGCAGCGTGCTTCGGAGTCGTTCTCGACATTCGTATGTGTGTGTGTTTGTGCGTGTGTTCAAACATCTCGTGGTTCGAATGAAGTGCCTGTGATTGTGTCGGTGGGCGTGCGCTTCCTTGCCTCATCAGAACGGTCGTCATCATCATCGCCAGATTAACTATTGCCACCGTCATCGTCATCACCATCACCGCTCGTTGCCGTCATCACTGCCACCGTCGTCATCGTCATCGGCACATTCGTTTTCGTCGTTCTCGTCATCAGCGCCACCACCTTTACCATCATCACCGCTGACGCCGTCGCTGATGCCGTCGTCGCTATTATTATCCGCCCGCCCGAGTTATGGATCTGCGTGAGGACGGCCCTCATTGCACCAGCTGCATTTTGCTCACAAGCTGCAGGTGGATCGGTGGTTTGTTTGTTCGGTCATTGCATCCCACGGCTTCAAGCTATCAACATGAGTTTGACCACACAGATGACACCACATACGTTGCACCACCTGGAGTGCCCCGCCTCTATCGCCCGCTATAGATTGCAAGCATCAGCTGTACAATACATACTTCACCACATAGGGTGCACATCGCGAGTGCAATGGTCAGCCGCATGTGTTCCGCGCTTGCAAACAATTCTTTTCATCGTACGCCCGTTGGTTTCGCGGTGGCCAGCCGAACTCCCCCCCGCCTTTTCGATCAACGGTTGCTTCCGCAGAGTGTCGCGCATGGGCCTGGCACCGAATCCGTCAACAGGGCCTCGTCTGTTCGGGGGGCCGCAGTGCCTGGCCTCCGCTTCATCTGCTCTGTCCTTCGTCCCGTCCCTCTCCTCTCGTCTCCGTCCTCCTTGTCCTTCTCGTCCTCCTCGTCCTCCCCGTGCTTCTCTCCCACCGTCTCGGCTGCCTCCTCGTCCTCGTCCTCCGACCGTGGCCCGAGGACGGGCCTGGCCGGGATCGGCGTAGCCGCACAGCTGGCCCCCTCCAGCACCCGGCCCGGCCTGCGCGGCTGCGGAGGCCCAGTTCTTGTCGATGATGGAGTCCCGGGAGGCGGCCGGCGAGGCCATCTTTGCTGCCATTTTCGAGGCCGCGCCCAGCCTGCAGGACCCCGAGAGGGGGGGGTGATCCCACCCGCAGGGGGGCGAGGCCGGACAAGGGGGAGGAGGATCAGGATGTGGCTGGGAGTCTTGCCATGAGTTTTGCAATTTTTGTCCGCCATCTCCGCGCCCAGCCTGCAGGACTCCGAGACGTGGGGGGGGGGTAGATGGCACGGCCACTCCGAGCGCTGCGTCAAAGGGAGAGAGAAGGGAGGGAGAGAGATATGGAGAGAAACAGTGAGAGAGAGAGAGAGAGAGACAGAGAGCGAGAGTAAGAGAGAGAGAGAGAGCGAGAGAGAGAGAGAGAGAGAGAGCGAGATAAAGAGAGAGCGTGCGAGAGAGAGAGAGAGACAGAGATCGGACAAGCTAACGGGAGTCCCGTCGACACCTGGCTACTGTGGTAGCCAAAGCCGCCACTACACGTTTAGCGGTGGTGCCCACTTTGGGGTACTGGGGATGTTGAGAGAGAGAGAGAGAGAGAGAGAGAGAAAGAGAGAGCGAGCGAGAGAGAAAGAGAGAGAGATAGAGAGAGAGCGAGAGAGTGAGAGAGTGAGAGAGAAAGAGAGCGACAGAAAGGGAGAGAGAGAGAGAGAGGGAGAGGGAGCGAGAGCCAGAGAGAAGAGAGAGAAAGAGTTATAGATAAGGGGGGAGAGAGGGAGAGAGAGAGAGATAGAAAAGAAGGAGAGAGCGAGAGAGAGAGAGAGGGAGAGCGCGAGAGAGAGAGAGAGAACAACAAACAAGAGCGCAATGACAATAGCGCAACCTCGCAGTGAAAGGAAGGGATTCCGAGGGAGAGGGGTCCAGACTTGTTCTTTCGCAGTCTCTCGGAAGTCCCGCGCACCTCCCGGGGCCCCGGGACGGTCGAAACACGAAAGCAGGATGCAACGCTGGTTCTCGGGGTGAAGCCCCGAGATCGGGACCCGTTTCCGCCCGTACCCTTTCCTTTTGAAATCTGCTGCTCCGAAAAAAAATGGAGCGGCCAGCGTGGGGGGGCCGCTACGGGTCCCGGGAACGCGAAAAAGGGATTCAGGATGAAACGCCGGCCCTGAGGAAGGAGTCCAGACTTTGGAGGGCGATTATCGGTCTCCAGGTACCCTCGACGTGCCCCGGGAACGTCAACAAGGATTCAGGATGAAAGATCGGCCTTGAGGAAGTGGTCCAGACTTCTGGGGGGTCGCGCATTGAGAAAATTCTAGACGCTTCGCGTAACCTCACCAGACCCCTCTCCCCTCCTCCATTATTTATTTGATTTGCGGCTCTCGGCTGCGCCTCCCCCCCCCCCCTCCACGGACACTGATGTGGTCTACCACGCCACTCGGCTTCCCCCATCGTGGCAACGTTCACGAGCATGCTCCGAGGTGGTCACACCGACTCCGCGGCGGGGTGCGGCCACCCGCTGGCTCCGGTGGGTGGGCCTGGGGAGGCCGGGTTCCTGTTCAAGTGGTCCATCCTTTGACAGGACTGTGCCTTCACATGGCAGGCCCGTCCCTCCAGCCCCCGGTTTCGCTTGTGACATCGCCCCCTTCTTCTGGACGGACATGTTGCTCGCGTACGCCAACGACGCCAACGACCGTTTCCACGGTGCACGGCACACGTGACCCACGACAGCCCAGCGGCTCTCCCCTGGGTAGGTCCGCAGGCCTCCCGCTGGGTGGTGCAGCCGTGGTCCCACGCAGCGTTCCCCCCATCCACTGTGGCAAGGCAGTTGCAGGCTGGGTCTCTCACGACTAGGCTGCCGACGCCAGTCATGGTTCGACGCACCGTCTTCGAGCACTTTAGGTGCTCTGTGAGTGAGGCTTCCGTCCTTTCCCCTCCCCTCGTCGCCTCCTGCGCCTGTCTCCCCTTTTGTCCTCCTCACCGCGTTTGGCGGTGCCTTTCCTCGAGCTCTGTGCCGCCCGCACAGCGCTCCGCATCCTCGCAGGCTTGGTCTGTGGGGGCTGGCGCCACTGTGCGACCCTCCACCGGCTTTCCAGTCTGCTGCCGCCTCCCGTTCCCGGGTCGGCTCTAATGAGGTTCATTTTGTCCCTCGCACGCGCATTGCGGCGTTGGCCTATGTGCCTTCGTTGCCAATCGTCTCGCGTTGCGCCCCTTTTGAGATTGACCCGCTCTCTGGAACCGTCCTTAGAGCCGCAGACCAAAAAGTAACCCCACCAGCATCTGCATCCAGTTCGACACCTAATTACCTGGACGCGTTCCCGGCGCCGCTTTGTGATGCCGTCCGCGCCATATTGGCTGCGCTGGGCTCCGTCCCGCTCTGCGCTTGGCGTTGCTCGCTTCTCTGTTTTTCATGTTGCTTCTGGCGCGACCTGCCCCTGCTTGTTCGGCGTTCGACTCGCTTCGCGCGCCCGCGTACCAAAAAGTAACCCCACCAGCCCATCCAGATACGATGCCCAGAGGAGCTGGCTCGATCAAGGACGTGGTTGCACACAGAGGAAGGGCCCTCTTGAAGCGCTCACGGGATCCGGGAGCGTGAAAATGGATTCAGGATGAAACATCGGCCTTGAGGGAGTGGTCCAGACCTCTGGGGCTCACGCGTCGGAGAAATTGGAGCGCAAAGTCCTTGTTTCCAGCCGTGGACTTGCCAGACTTTTCTTCAAGTTTCCTGGGATGGTCCGCGGGCTGCCGTGGACTCTCCAGCACTTCCTTGGGCGTTCCCTGAACTTTCCGGGACATCGCGGTATCCTCTGGACTTCCCCGGCTTCCTCGCGCAACGAAGAACTTGGACCATCTTGCCAGCCTTGACCCAGACAGGGGGAGAGAGAGAGAGAGAGAGAAGCGGTAAGATGAAAGGAAAAGAACCAACGACCAACGAAAAGTTGCATGGCTCTTGCGGTCCGCAGCGCCCCGTCTCCCCGTTTCCCAGCAGCCTCCGTTCAGTTTGCCACAGCAGCGTTCTGGTGCCCTTGTTTTATTCTCCTTGTGCGAGGTGACGAGTTGCAGAAAAGGCACCGGTTTCGCACGCGCCGTGCCGCATGCACGTGCTGGGCCGCTCGTGCGTGCCCGTGCCAAGTGGGCCGCTCCCTCGTCGTAGGGGCGCCCTGGTCTCGCGCCCTCGCTGCCGCAGTTCCCTCGGCCATCTGCCCTGGAGTTCCTGTCCTCCCTCCACGCCTCCCCTGTAAACTCCGCCGAAGCCTCCTCCCAGGTGCCTCCGCTCGCGCCAAGGCCTTCAACAGGAGGGCGCGCGAGGGGCATGGAGGGAAGGCTCACCTGCCTCCTCCTCCGCCTCCCCCCCCTCTCTGAGCTCGTTGGAGCGCTCGGTGCAAAAATGCCTCCCTCCGCCTCTCTGCTCATCTTCCTCCTCCTTCGTCGTGCTCCTCCGTTTTCTTCGTTTGTTCCGGGCTTATCCTCGTCCTGCTCCTCGGCGGTGTCGCCATCGTCCTTGTCCTCATCCGCATCCCCTGGTGTCGCCTCGTCCTCCCTACCCAACCACCACCACATAACAGCACCCTCTTCGTCGCCCTCCTCCCTGCGCCCTCCTCCCTCCTCCCTCCTCCGTTGTATCCATTTTGGCTCATGGCTGGACGTTCCTCGGTGGACCCAGTGGATGCCGCTGATCCGCGGCTAAACCGAGTTCTGGTGGGCTCCTGCTGGAGGAGCATATTTTCTATTTCCCCATCCCCTGTGCGGCGTGCAGGGTCCGTTCTCCTGCTTGCCCGAAGCTTGCCCGTCGCCCGACAAGGTGCCAACGGCTGCGCCACGCGCTCGCAGTGCAGCCATCGGCGGAATCTTCGTTCTCGGGCGTGCTGCTTCCGGTGCCAGGGCACCCTCGGGCCGCAGGAGGCGCCAGGGCGTGCAGCAGGCGGGGTCTGGGCGACGGCACCCCCTCCGACTGGTGGCCAGGGCGGGCCAGGCGGCACCCAGCCTCCCCCCTGCCAGCCCGCCAGGCACCTGGCAGTGAGGCGTGCCACCTTGGCGAGTGGTTCCGCCGTACACTTCCTCCCTGCCCTGGCGTTAAGTCGGGCCTGTTCCTCTACAGGAGGAATATTCAAAAATAGTCGAACAAAAATAGTCTGGAGACGATGTTTGACTTTTCGTGATTGCGTTTGAATATGATTCAAATATTGTTTATTTTTCGCCCAAACTCCGCCCGTAGAAGGACACGCCCGACCGAGTGCCAGCCCGCCAGGTACCTGGGACCGACGTGCCGCGTTGGCACGTGGTTCCGTCACGCATTTCCTCCCGGCCCCAGCGGGCGGCGCGGGGCCAGAATTGCGGATTGGCCTTGGCAGACCTTCTGGAGCAGCTCCGCAGTCGGGTAGGGCTGTCCTCAGGCGCGGCCTCGCGGGCTGGGCCCTGTGGCCGCGAGCCCGCGGATACGGGGCGCTCTTGTTCGCGGATGCCCCGCGCGGAGCCTAACTGTGCGACCGCGTATCCGCGGGATCGCGCCCCGGAATCCAGACCGCGAGGGCCCAGATGTGTGTACGTTCGCCGCTCGTGAGGTCCAGGGGCTGCTGAGCTCAAGGCGCCGGAGAGTGCGATGGGACCTCGGCCCTCCGCCCATCCAGCGCAGCCGCCGCGGCAGCTGCTCGAGGCCACGATCTCGGCCCAAGGGGGGGCTTGCCGTCGTGCCCAGGCGCACCTCGTGGCGATGGCCGCTCGCGAAACGTAGGCAGAGAGGCCTCAGCAGAGGCATCGTTGGCAGCCTACGGCACGGAGATTGTTGGCGGGGCGAGTTGGCGCTCGAGCGCTCCGCCGAGCTCGCGGGGTGCGGCCCACATCCGAAGTCGGGGGCCTCGAGCGAAGGCGGGTCAGAGATCCGATCGGGTTCGCAGATCATGCTTCCGCAGCTGCCCAGCGGGGAGGTCAGTGGCGACGTGGTTGAGATCATCAACGGGGACATACTCGAGCTTGAGGGCCTCTATGCTGACGAAGCCATAAACGGCAGCACGCTGACGGTCTGCCATCGGGAGAAGATTATGTGGTTTCCTCGGGGAGTGGGGGGGAGGGCGTCGTTGGCCCTTGGCAGTGGTGATTGTCATTCCCTGCCGGGGTGGCCGAAAGGTCCTCTACCATGTGGTCCCTCTGGGGGCTGGACACGTCGGACTCTCTCTCTCTCTCGCTCTCTCTCTCCCTCCCTCTTTCCCTTTATGCTTCTCTGTCTCTCCCTGTTTTTGTGTTGTTGTCTCTCTCTCTCTCTCTCTGTCCTTCTCTCTCTCTGTCCCTCGCTCAGTGTCTCGTTTTGTTCCGCTCAGTGGCGTTCGATCCTTTTCATTCCTCCATCTTCATCGTGCACTTGCAATTGCTGCTGCTCCTCATCCCCCCTCCCTCCTCCACGCCTTCTGCTCATCCATCATTTGACCTCCCTCCTCGAGGAGCTTTTCAAGACAGCCAGGGCCGTGCATGCGATGAGGTTCACGAACGTGCTGAACTCTGCGATGCAGGTCCTCGATAACCCGAGGGACTTGAAGATACTCGCGGAGACCGTTGGTTTCGGCCACCTGAATTTGGAGGCTGCTCCGGGGATGGAGGGGGCGAGGGGGACAACTCGTGGGGAGTGGGATGCGATGAAGAGGGGGAAGTGCGAGGTGGAGGAGGAGGCTGATGAGGAAGGGAGACAGTGATGATGATGATGCTGCTGCTGATGATGATGCCGTTGATGATGATGATGATGATGATGATGATGATGATGATGATGATGATGATGATGATGATGATGATGATGATGATGATGATGAAGAAGAAGAAGAAGAAGAAGAAGATGATGATGATGATGATAATGATGATGATGATGACTCATGATGATGGTGATGGTGATGGTGATGCTGATGATGATGACGGTTCTGATTATGGCGCTGATGATGTTCATGATGATGATATTGATGATGTTGTTGATGATGATGAAGAGGCTGGTGATCATGATGCTAGCGATGATGATGATGGTGGTGTTGATTATGATGATGGTGATAATGATGCTGATGAGAATGCTGATGATGATGATGATGATGATGATGATGTTGATACCGATTATGACGATGATGGTGATGGTGGGAAGTCTTATCATGGTCATGGTTATGGTACTGGTGATGGTGATGGCGACTGTTATGACGACGAGGATGGTTGATGACGACGCCGAGGATGATGCTGCTGATGATGAAGATGCTGCTGGTGAGGATGCTCAAGATTATGATGATGATGACCACGATGATGATGATGACGATAATGATGATGGTGACGCTGATTATGATGATGGCGATGATGATGAGACTGATGATGTTGATGTTGATTATGATGCTGATGCTGATGTTGATGATGACGGTGTTGATGATGCTGCTGATGATTATGGTGATGGTAATGATGCTGATGATGCTGCGGCTGATGATGATGATGCTGATGCTGCTGCTGATGATGATGTAGTTGCTGCTGACGCTGCTGAGGAGGATGATAATGATGAGTCGTGCTCTTAGAAGGAAGAGGACGAGGACAAGGAACATGATGAGGATTGCGGAAATGGATTCCAGAGATGGATGGGGGGAGGGTGCTCGCTCGAGCACAATGCTTCGATGCGCTCTCGTGTGGGAAGCGGCAGATTTCATGCATCGAGGGATGGACTTGGTGACCTCCAGTCCACCAGCAAGTGGGAGTCGTCCAGCGGGTTCGACCCGTCAAGTCGAACCCGCCAGGTCTCGCATCTTCTGCCGACAGCCCAGTTGACTACCCGCAGGAGATGCGCACACCAGCGCTGCAGAGCGCGACCATTCGGCGTAAACTGCACCACGTCAGGGCCAGGGCCGCGTAGCGGGTCCAGATAGCAGGGCTGGGCCGTGAGCAGCTCGGCGCAGGCCTCGCCGCGGCACAGCGGGCGTGCGGGTCGCCACGCCCGCTGCTCGTCCGACAGCAGAGGCAGATCCTACTCCGGGCGGGCCCTTTCATGCACACGACCGTGCCCAGAGATGTCACACTGCCTCGTGTGGAGCTGGCGCCTCGGCCGCGGCTGCTCCCAGCGGCGGACGCCATTCGCACTGCCCGAAGGGCAGCCCCTGCGAGGGCACTGGCGCAGCGCGCGGTCCAGTGCCGCCAGCAGCCCCCGCGGCGACTCTCGTGGCGCAGGTGGCGATGGAGGCAACGATTTTGCGCGGCGCAGGCGCGTCGCCAGAGACCGTGCCCGCCGTTGGTGGCGACAGGAACGCTTGCTTCGACAGGCTTGGGCGGGGGCGCGACCACTGGTGCTCTGTCGCCAGCGGCTCGAAGAGGGAAGCGCGCGGCGGCGCGCAGAGCTGCAGCGGCAGGAGTCCGCAGAAGGACGTGCGCCAGGTCTGCGTCACACCAGGGCGTGTGGCCCTTGGGTTGCCGGGGGGTGGGGGGGGCGGGGGGCGCTCCCGTGCGGTGCAGGGAAGCAGCGGCGACCCGCCGCAGACGACATGCTCCGACACCAGTGGCGGATGCGGGTCGAGGTCTCTGGTGGCCAAGGGCCGAGGCTGATCTGCACGAGGTGGTCCCTCCAGCGCCATGCTGTGCGGCGCGCTGGTCGCCCTGCCGCTGGAACATGTAATCCATTCTGTCTGGTCGTCCTTTTATATCCATCCGACCCTGCTGGTGCTGCTGCTCCTCCTGTCCGCTTGTTTACTTCCCTCGCCGATCTGCTTCTGCAATCCCTGAGCGTGGGTGCCCATGCACATCCTGTGGCTGAGGCTCTCGCGTAGCAAACTGTCAGCAGATGTTCTTGCAAGGGGCCACAGCACGCCCGAGAGACAATTTTCGGTATCGTGCCATTGTTGGATCGACACGTGCTTTCAATCTTGAAGTTACCAATTTTGCTCGGCGTCTGTCCTGTCGCATCATCCCGATGGAACGCCCTCATTGGGGGAAGCGAGCTTCTGTCTTGCCGCTGGACGGCCGCCGTCGTTCTTGTCGTTCGTGCTCTTGTCCGCCCTTCTCTTCTGGCAGTGGCGCTCCTCCTCCTCCTCCTCCTCCTCCTCCTCCTCCTCCTCCTCCTCCTCCTCCTCCTCCACCTCGCTTCTTCTTTCCGTCTAGGCCCCCCTGGGATCTCCCGCGAGGTCACGGCCCCCAAGGGGGCCGTCTTCCGTGACTCCATCCTGGACTTGTTCGAGTCTGAGCTGGGCGACGCGCTGAGCAACGAGGGGCGCGCGGGTTGGGAGGCCGGTGGGCAGCTCAAGCCTGGGCGACCGGAAGCATGCTTCGCGTGCCACCAGCATCGCCAGGGTTGGGCACACGCGCCGATGATTCGACGTGAACCTTGTTTGTGAGCAGACGCCGCACGTCGATCATGTTGTTCCCAACCATCCTGTGGTGTTGGGTCTTCGTTTTAAAGAGACGGCGCCCCGCGTTCTCCTCCTCCTCCCGCCTCCTTCCTCCCAGACCCCCCTCCTCCCCCTCATCCTTATTCCTGCGTTTCACCCACCAAGTACAGCGCTTCGTGGCCCCATAGGGAGCTCCACCGACGGCCCCAGTGCCACCGCCCGCCTGCGTCACCCACACCCATTATGGCACACCCCTCACACGTTTCGTGGCCCCATAGGGAGCGCCGCCGACGGACCCAGTGCCACCGCCCGCATGCGTCAACCACGCCCATTTCGGCACACCCCTCACACCTTTCGTGGCCCCACAGGGAGCTCCACCGAAGGCCCCAGTGCCACCGCCCGCATGCGTCAACCACACCAATTTCTGTACACCCCTCACACGCTTCGTGGCCCCATAGGGAGCTCCACCGAAGGCCCCAGTGCCACCGCCCGCATGCGTCACCCACACCCATTTCGGCACACCCTTGACACGTTTCGAGGCCCCATGGGGAGCTCCACAGAAGGCCACAGTGCCACCGCCCGCATGCGTGAACCACGCCCATTTCGGCACACCCCTCACACGTTTCGAGGCCCCATTGGGAGCTCCACCGAAGGCCCCAGCGCCACCGTCCGCATGCGTCACCCACACCTGTTTCGGTACACCCCTCACACGTTTCGTAGTCCCAGGGGAGCTCTACCGAAGGTGCCAGTGGCTGCGTTCGAATGCGCCCACTGCACCTATTTCGGCACACCTCTCACGCGCTTCGTGGCCCCATATAGAATTCCACCGACGGCCCTAGCGGCTGCTTTCGCATGCGCCTACCAGACAAAGATTGGCACACCCCTCACACGCTTCGTGGCCCCATAGGGAGCTCCTCCGAATGCGGTGCATACAGCGACGGTGCTCACAACAGCATATGGTTTGGTCCTTCGCCAGGCTATTTTTTTCCGCCGCCACCCTGGTATGGGTCCAGCGAAGCGAATCTGCGCACCAGTGGGGACGGCGATCGTGATGGAACGTTGAGCACCCCCCACCCAGTGCAAGGACGGCCGTCGAAAGGAGGTGGAGGACGAGGAGAATCATTGCAGGAGCCATGTCGACTCTGTCCCTTCGAGTCGCTTCGATTTTCTCCGGATTTCGACTTCGCTTTGGATTTCCTTGTGTGGGCCTCGGCGCGGGCCGCTGGACGTGGATGTCGATGTCTTCCGATCTGTCTGTCCACATGGCGAATTAACTCCGGGATGGAGGAATATGGAGAACCAGTTCGTCAACGCGAGCTGAGATCATGCCATTGTGTTTCCAAGGGCTATGGCTTTTCTCGTGCCGCCCAACTGGGCGCAGTTCCACCCGCAGTAGAAAATGATGGAAGCTCGATCGCTCGCTCGTTTCGATTATGTCGATCCGATGTGTCGCGACTGCCGATTCAGTTCCCCGATGCGATGTTTACGGGTTGTCCTGCTACTGGCTGGGCAGGCCTGCTGCCAGGAATCACGCCTCGCCAGGATCGCCCTGCTCCCTTGGGCCTCCACAGGTGATCCTGAACTACATCATCGGCGCGTGCATTTACGTCAGGACGCCGCGGGCCCCGCCGCTCGCGCGGGGGACCCCGCGCAGAGGGGCCTCCAGCCGATGGGGCCCCGAGGCCGTTGCCGTCGCGCACGAGGCCGCCCCCCCGAGCCCTCCTCGAGGCGGGCGCACTGCGCCGCTGCACGCCCTCCGAGGGGCCGCCCGCGGCCTCGGAGGTTCGGGGAGCCCCCCGGCAGGCCCCGAGGCCCCCCCCCGAGCCTCCCGGGGGGGAGGCGGGGCGCCCTCCGCCCTCTCAGGGGCAGCATCACCTTTCGTGACGCCCCCCCCCCCCCGTCGCCTCGTCCTAGGTCGGAGTGGCCCAGACGGCCTCCAGGGCACCCCTCACGAGGCCCAAAAGGCATCAGGGGCTCCCAAATGGAGCGAAAAACTGGGGTCACCTTGGGCCAGGGGCACGTCTAGCAACACCCGACCCAGGACGTATGCGTGCGGCCGGAGGTTGAGCCTGAAGAGCGAGGGCGGCGTCAGTCGCGGCAGGGGATGGCTTGCCAGGGGTCGGTTAGAGGCCGCGCTGGACCTTCCCCCCTTTGGGGCGCGATCCGCCGACCTGCGCAGGCCCCCCGAGCAGTGGGCGCCCTCTTGGACCTTCTGGGCCTCCTGGACGGGGGCCGGAGTGGATGTCGCAGGCCCAGAGGTTGACACCAACACCACCTCCTCCTCCTCCTCCTCCTCCTCCTCCTCCTCCTCCTCCTCCTCCTCCACAATTACTCAATATGAATACTACTCTCCTCTTTCCCCTGATGACGGGTTGGGAGTGTTCGCCCCCCCCCCCCCCACGTACTGTTTTTTTAAACGCAGGATTCCCCGGAGTTGGGTTTTCGCCTGCATTTTTTTCAAAATCGTGTTTCCGCTGCAGCGCTGGTCTCATTTCCGTGCTTCCGCTCGTTCCGAATCGTGCTCCCGCTGCAGCGATGGCCTCATTTCCGTGCTTCCGCTCGTTCCGAATCGTGCTCCCGCTGCAGCGCTGGCCTCATTTCTCGTGCCATGCCACGGCATGCAATGCAATGCTAGGTTGCGTTCCGCTGCGCGATGCCACGCTTTAAGCTGAAGTTGTGACATGCAGTGCTTAAGTGCCACGTCGTGCTATGTCATGCTACGCTTTGATCTTCAACGCCATGCTATGCAATGTTCTGTTCGGGGCAGCTGTGCGATGCCATGCTCTGCGTTGCAAAGCTTTGTGATGCAATTCTTCACTACGCCACGCCACGCCATGCTGTGACATACTACGCTTTGCGGTGCTCTTCTACGCCATGCCATGCCGTGCTCTACAATGCATCGCGTACCCTTTCGGGATCATTGCCCTGCTCGACATCCGACTGTGCGAGTAGAGAGGGGATCTACGCCATGGTAAGGGATGGGAGGGAGGGGTAGGATGTCAGATATGACGCGAGCGCACCTAGCTTGTCCCCCTCCCCCTCCCTCTCCTCCTCCCCCTCCTCCCCCTCCTCCTCCTCCACCGAGGGAAGAAGGTCCCGACCTCGGTGACGGTGGTAGTATTCTGGCTACCGAGGTGACCGAAATATCACCATCGACACCGACATCCAGGATCATCTTCTCCCTGCGGAGGCAAACCCCCTCTGTTGGTGTTGGTGCCCATTTCAAGGCCTCCAAAGATGGGTTCGGAGGATCGCGCCGCATCGCCGATGCATCGGCGATGCGGCGCGATGTGGAGCCCGATTTGCTTCACGTCGACGTCGCCGATACGTCGCCGACGTCGACGATGCATCGCCAGTGCATCATCGATGCATCGCCGATGCATCGCCGATCCATCGGCGATCCGGCGCAATCCGCCGACCCCATCTACTCCGACCCCATCTAGGAGGCCTCTATGGGAGGCATGGACGCAGCGAGCACCCGATATGCACCCGCCGGTCGTTGAAAGTAGGTACTTCTGGGGGCCCGAAGCCCAATCTACTTTAGCCGCCTTCCTGCTTCCTGAGCGGTTTTCCCTTTGCCCTCATCCTCAGGGGGCGGGCGGAAGCCCAATCTGCTTCCAACGCTCTTCTACTTCATTGTGTTTTTCGCTACTTCTTCCGACCGACGTGCAAGAAGTTTTGCCAGTGAGCCGCCTCGAGCGGAGTGCGTCGCAGCCACCGTGCTCTTCGTCTTGCTCCGGAGAAGAAGCGAATATTTGCAGCCCCTCCTCTCCTCGGGACGATCGAAATGGGTACGGGAAGAATGGGTACGATGCCCAACAGCGGTTTTTGTCTTTTTGAACAGGGCTCGCTGTCCGCGCCGCAGCGGACGTTGTTCACTGAAAACAGAAAGCCGCCTGCCCAACAGCGGCCGCTGTCGGTCTTGGACAACATTTGTTGTTGGGCATTATGCCCATTTGTTCCAAACCCATTTCGGGCGTCCAAATCTCCGAGCCGCCCCACCCCCCGACCCGCCAGATCTAGAGGCCCCACATTGATCCCTGCCCGCTTGTCTCCCCGGCCGGGCCAGGCCCTCGTCTTGCCTCCCCGGCCCGGCCCTCCTCCTCGCGCCACCCCAACGACGTCGCTCCGTGGTGGGCGTTTATTTTGGCCGCACCGCTCGGGAAACGATGCTCTGCGCGACGGTTGTGCTGTAGATGCCTGTGTCGGACGCGCGCCTCCGAGGAGGGCACACACTACCAGCATTCAGGAGGGCAAAAAAAAACAGACACAATTCATCGTCGACGCCGAGGAAAATACGGGAAAATATGGGAAGTGGAGGGAAGACGAAAACCCAGAAGACATTGAAAAATATGTCTGTGTTTGTGTGTCCTTGGGCCCCTTGGAGTGTGTCCTCGCGCGCGCCCGCTCCTCGAGGCACGGACGCAAGGCACGCGCGAGCCGCCCCTGCAGGGCGACGGGTCTGTTCGCGGCCTGCGCGGGGCGGCCGCGGCCCGTCGCTCTACCCGTCGACTGAGCTCCTGCACGGCGCAGTGCCGCCGCAAAACATGTGCACAGACACCCTCCGATGGATTCGTTCTTGGGCCTCAAGGGGGGAGGGTGGCGGTGTATCAAATCACCGTTGGGAGGGCCCGACTTTCTGCAACGCCGCCCTCCCTGATGGTACATGCAAGGTTCGTCGGAGGGTGTCTGTGCATCTGTTGTCGCGGCGTAGCAAAATCCACAAGTTTGTATTGATAGAACCGCCCTCCCGCAGGTCCCACCAGTCAGGAGGGAAACAAACACACAGACACAAGTCATCGTCTATTCCCCAGAAAATATTGGAACATATCGGAACATGTTTGGAAATATAGGAAAATATGGTAAACCCAGAAGATATTGAAAGTATAGGGGATCCTATTATTTGTGTCTATTTATTTGTGTGTCCCAGGGCCCCTTCAACCAGGCCCTGCCCAACGCCGTCGTAAGCCCTGTGACGCCGTTGGCTTCCCTCGAGGAGGACGTACGCCGAGCGGCTGCGCGTCCTGGCCGCCAGCTGGGAGAAGGCCGAAGCCCGCCGCCCCCCCCCCCTGCGGCGGCGCCGCCCCGCCCGCCTCTGCGGGCGCGCCCGCGCGCCCGTGCCGCGGAGGGCCCGCTGCTGACCTCCGATCGGTCCGGCCCGATCGGACCCGATGGGTGCGATTCGCGTGGGCGAAAGAGAACTGCAGGCAGCCCGCATCGTCCATCTGTGCTGTCACGTTTCCGCCCTCGTGCTCTCGAGGGGGGCAGGATTTGCCCGCCCTGCCGGGCGGGGCAGAAGACAGCAGGGGAATGAACACGCCTCTGCATGTGTGTACCTGTGAGATGCGTGTGTGGGGGTATCCGGGTTTTCGCACACCCGCGCAGGGAGTAGAATACGTGAGTTGCCAGTGGGTGCAACTTCCACCATGGCAAGGATGAGCAACTTCCCAAGGCTACCGCTTGCATCCTTGTCCCTTCGGCCCATCCTGAGCGACTCTTGCTGGCCAACCTCGTTCGGAAAATGTCAACATGGACCTCCAAGGCCCTTGCACCCTTACCGCGCATCCTTTTTTTATACTGGTTGACTGTATACGGTGGGGGCGTTCGTGAAGGAATGTGCTCAGGAGGCTGCGGGCCCTGGCGGATTCCTCATCTGATGAGGGCGGCAGTGATACCCATGGCCAGTCCACGATTGGAGCTCCACAGTCTTCCAGACCCTGGATTCCGTAAGGGTTCCTTGTGCAATGCCCCCCCCACACGGTAGGCTGGAGAAACCAGGCCGGACACATTCGGTTCACGCTGAACTCGGCCAGGCGAAATTCGGCCCTGGGCCGGGTGCAGATTGGCCGAGTTCGTTTGGGCCGAGTTCGACTGGCCGAGTTCAATTGGCTGCGTCTTTCTCTTTTCCTTGCCAGGACTCGGGACTGTCGAGAAACGACTCAGGATGGAAAACGGCCTCTGGGAATGGTCAGCCATTCGCAGAGGGGGGTATGGGAAGGGGGAAGGCTTCTTACAAGCACCCCTGCCTCTAAGCCTTCCCCCTCCTACACCCATGTGCGCGCCGCCAAAAAGCTTAGAGATCCGACGTATTGGCAAGCATCTAGGCGGCGTTGTTTCGCTTTTTACGGCCTCCAGAGGCCCTCGCTGTGCTTGGGGGCCGTCAAAAAACGACTCGGGAGGAAGAGCCGGTCCCCAGGAGTGGGTTGAGACTTCAGGGACCCTTTATAAGAAAATTCAAGACATTGGATCTCTGGGAACATATCAGACAGGAACGGAGCGACAGTCGTCGTGCTGTTCTCGGCCTCCATGGGCCCTCAACAAGATGATTGAAATACCGGCGCTTCCGGCCCACGCAGCACAAAATGGAGCGGCCCGATGCCCGGGTCTTGCCCCTGGATCCTCGTGGGCGCAACTCACACGGCCTCGCGGCGGCCGCGACCCCGCGGATGTGGGGCGCTCTTTTGCGCATGCCATCGCTCGTAGCGCAGCCGTGCGACCGCGTAGCCGCGGGATCGCGCCCCGGAGTCCAGACCGCGTTGGCGTGGATATAAGGGGAACGAAAAATGATATACACATAACAACTCGGAGATCCGCGCGGAATTCTCGGATCGGCGCTGGACTCCCCTCTCTGGCGCCGATCTGAGAGGGGGGTCCAGCGCTGATCCGAGTTTTTATGCTTATGTTTTTGTTCGTTCCCCTAGATACGGATACGCTCGTTGCTCGTGAGATGCGATACCGATGCGGCTCGCTCGACTCCATTCGACCCACGTTTTTTTTTCGGGCGGCGCCGAGCGGCCCAGTGCTCGCAGGGGGCGCTGCTGTGCCGCCGCCGGTCCAATCCGACTTCGGCTCTGCGGCGATGCAGCCCGATGATCCGACCCACATTTCGATGCTCGAGGGCGGCAAATAGGAGGGGGATGACTAGGGGGTGGTGGATATCATGGCATCCTCTTCTTATTTCATTACGTCTCGGCCCCCCCCCTTGCCGGCGCACACGTCGCGGCCATGATTTGCGCCCCCCCCCTCTTGGACGCCCCCCTTATTGGCCGCCCCCGAGATTCTGTCCGCACTCCCGATTCGACGCTGACGGATCCTGCGTTACCTCGTCCCGTTCTGGCCCTCCGGGGCCTCTTGTGTTTGGTTTGGAGCCTACTGGCCCTGCGAATCGATCGAAAGGGGGGCGATTGCGAGAGGGAGTTGCGACGCCTGCTGCCTGCAGCCAGCAGCCAATCTCGGCCTGAGGCCCCCGGCGCCAGGAGGCGCCAGGGAAGCCATGAGCCGTTTCGCTGACCTCCCCCCTTGCTATTCCTCCCCACCCTTCGCCCGATCCGATCTTGTTTCTTGAACTGTCCTGGGCCGTCCTGAGCCAGTTCGGGTACATGTGGGCGGTCTTGGGACTTTCTTGGGCGGCCCCGACCCTGCGGAGCCCCGGGGACAACCGAAAACAGCGCACGATGCGACATCCCAACCAGAGACGGGGTCGACAGCCCCTGGGGACCTCCGAGAGCGGGGATCGTTCGAAATGAGCGGTCCACGTAGGGTCAGAGACCAGGACCCACGTCGTCGAGGCAGACGCCTGCCGTGGGGCGTTCCACCCAAGGGAGGAGCCGCCACCCCGACCTCCATGATCGGTGTGTGTGTGTGTGTGTGCAGAAGTAGCGCTGCGCGTCTACGGAGCGCTCTCACCCGTTCTGGCTCTCTTTGTCGGGCGCAGTTCCGAGTCGCCTCTCCGTGCGCGGTCCTTCTGCCCGCTGGCCACGCAAGGCACCTCGTCGTCGAACAGTGGCCAGGCGAGCCGCTCGATCCCCGGAGGAGGCGGCGGGGCGACCCGCGGGGGAGCCCGGGGCCTCGCCCGCCGTCGGCGGCCTCGCCAGCGGAAGCCCGGGAGAGGCCCACGCCGTGGCCATCCGGGCCTCGGAAGCTGAGCGGTCTGTGATGGGCCTGTTTTCCACCACTCCTCCTCGTCCTCCTCCTCCTCCTCCTCCTCCTCGTCCTCCTCCTCCTTCCCCTCTCCAACTGATGGTGGTGGTGGTGGAAAACAGGCCCATCAGCACGAGCCGAGGCCGCCAGCTGCTCGAAGAGCGCCGCAGTTTTTCAAGACTTCTTGGCCGGCTCCAGGCCCGTGGCGTCCCGGGGCGCCCTGGGCTCGCCCCCGCGGTTTTGCTCGAAGGCGCGCCCCCCTTCGGGGCCCGTGGGCGTTAGCCGGGCTGGCCCGCGCGCAGTTCGCTTGACTTGACCCGCGCGTGTTGGCGACGCTAAAGACAAACGCAGATGGTGTGTGTGTGTGTGTGTGTTCCCGCGTCGCTCCGCGTCAGCTTCCACCATGTGAGCGCCCTTGTTCCCTCCCCCCGCCCCGCCCCGCGGCCGCCACGCCTTTTTTTCCCTCCTCTGGCCGCCGGTTGAGTCTTGCTCTCCGTTGCTCGGACCGCCTGAGCGCGCGTGGGGGTTGCCGTTGCCGCGCTGCGACGTGCAAAAGGGTGTGTGTGTGTGTGTGTCGGTGTGTTCCCGCTTGAAGGTCTGGCCGCGCGCGCCCGCTCCTGCTGCTTTCGGCTTACTTACTCCGCCTCGTCGCCTCGCGCGAGGCCGCGACCGCCAAAGAGTGTGTGTGTGTGTGTGTGTGTGAGTGAGTGTGCGTGTGTGCGTGTGTGTGTGTGTGTGTGTGTATGTGTGCGTGCGTGCGTGCGTGTGTGCGTGTGTGTGCGTACACGTTTGTGTGTGTGTGTTTGTGTGTCTGTGGGCCTCGCCGCTTGGGGACTCTCCGCCTCGACGCTGCGCGCGAGGCCGCGACCGCCACGAAGTGTGTCTGCGGGCGGGGCGCCCGGCTCGCCCTCGCCGGCCCTTTCGCACCGTGGCCCAGCTTGTCGCAGAGCGCGCACGCTCTCCGAGGAGAAAGTCTGGGCGGGGGCGGCGACGCGGCTCCGCGAGGGCCAGTCGGCCGCGGCCGCGGCAGATTCTCCGGCGCGACATTGCGCGCACACGCGCGTCGGCCGAGCCAAATATTGTGTGTGTGCGTGTGCGTGTGTTCGTGAGTGTGCGTGTGCGTGTGTAAGCGCGTGTGCGTGTGTAAGTGCGTGTGTACGTGTTCATATTCGTGTGTAAGTGCGCGTGCGTTGTCTTTTCCCCCCTTCGTAGTTGACTGCCGCTGCCGCTTTCCCGTTGCGCCTCGCTTGCCGCCCCGCTGTTTTTGCTTCGCGCTGCGCCGTCTTGTGTGCTTTTCCCCTCCTTGTTCCTTCCTTTCCCCCGTTCCCCCCGTCTGTCCCCTCACCGCTGCCCCTCCCTCCTGTGAGTGTTGCTGTCGATCCTCTATTGGCCGATCCAGCTTCTCCACGCCGCGTGAGCCAGGCCAGCGCGCGCGCTCGTTCAACCTGTCATACGCGGCGCTGCCGCGCGCATGGCCGCGACGCCAAACACTTTGTGTGTGTGGTGGGGGCGGAGGGTGAGTGGAGCTGTGAGTGGGTGCTTGACGTTCCTCGCCTATGTTTCTTTCTCTCCCTAATTCTCTTTCCTGTTGTTTGTTCCCGACCCTCCTTGGTTGGGTATTCGTTTTGAATAGAGGGGTGTGGTCGCGTCCTTCTCCCGCCTCCCGCCTCCCGCCTCCCTCTTGTCTCCTCTCGCCGTCCCTGGGGGGCTGCGATCTGTGAAACTGTCGCCACTTTCGAGGGCTGCTGGGGAGGCCAGCAGAGAGGGTACTCACCGCGGATCCAAACGGGACCTCGCCGTCTGTGGGGGGCTGCGATCTGTGAAACTGTCGCCACTTTCGAAGGCTGCTGGGGAGGCCAGCAGAGAGGGTACTCACCGCGGACCTGAACGGCACCTCGCCGTCCCTGGGGGGCTGCGATCTGTGAAGCTGTCGCCACTTTCGAGGGCTGCTGGGGAGGCCAGCAGAGAGGGCACTCACCGCGGATCCAAACGGGACCTCGCCGTCCCTGGGGGGCTGCGATCTGTGAAACTGTCGCCACTTTCGAGGGCTGCTGGGGAGGCCAGCAGAGAGGGCACTCACCGCGGATCCAAACGGGACCTCGCCGTCCCTGGGGGGCTGCGATCTGTGAAACTGTCGCCACTTTCGAGGGCTGCTGGGGAGGCCAGCAGAGAGGGCACTCACCGCGGATCCAAACGGGACCTCGCCGTCCCTGGGGGGCTGCGATCTGTGAAACGGTCGCCACTTTCGAGGGGTGCTGGGGAGGCCAGCAGAGAGGGCATTCACCGCGGATCCAAACGGGACCTCGCCGTCCCTGGGGGGCTGCGATCTGTGAAACTGTCGCCACTTTCGAGGGCTGCTGGGGAGGCCAGCAGAGAGGGCACTCACCGCGGATCCAAACAGGACCTCGCCGTTCTTGGGGGGCTGCGATCTGTGAAACTGTCGCCACTTTCGAGGGCTGCTGGGGAGGCCAGCAGAGAGGGCACTCACCGCGGATCCAAACAGGACCTCGCCGTCCCAGGGGGGCTGCGATCTGCGAAACCGTCGCCACTTTCGAGGGCTGCTGGTGGGTCCTGCGGAGTGAGGCGCCGCGCGGACCTGAGCGGGACCTCGCCGTCCCTGGGGGGCTGCGATCTGCGAAACTGTCGCCACTTTCGAAGGCTGCTGGTGGGTCCTGCGGGGTGAGGTACTGCGCGGACCTGAGCGGGACCTCGCCGCCCCTGGGGGGCTGCGATCTGCGAAACTGCCGCCCTGGGGGGCTGCGATCTGCGAAACTGTCGCCACTTTCGAGGGCTGCTGGTGGGTCCTGCAGAGTGAAGCACCGCGCGGACCTGAGCCGGACCTCGCCGTCCCTGGGGGGCTGCGATCTGCGAAACCGTCGCCACTTTCGAGGGCCCTGCGGAGTGAGGCACCGCGCGGACATGAGCGGGACCTCGCCGTCCCTGGGGGGCTGCGATCTGCGAAATTGTCGCCACTTTCGAGGGCTGCTGGTGGGTCCTGCGGAGTGAAGCACCGCGCGGACCTGAGCGGACCTCGCCGTCCCTGGGGGCTGCGATCTGCGAAATTGTCGCCACTTTCGAGGGCTGCTGGTGGGTCCTGCGGACTGAGGCACCGCGCGGACCCTGAGCGGGACCTCGCCGTCCCTGGGGGGCTGCGATCTGCGAAATTGTCGCCACTTTCGAGGGCTGCTGGTGGGTCCTGCGGAATGAGGCACCGCGCGGACCTGAGCGGGACCTCGCCGTCCCTGGGGGCTGCGATCTGCGAAATTGTCGCCACTTTCAAGGGCTGCTGGTGGGTCCTGCGAGTGAGGCGCCGCGCTGACCTGAGCGGGACCTCGCCGTCCCTTGCGATCTGCGAAACTGTCGCCTTTTTCGAGGGCTGCTGGTGGGTCCTGCGGAGCGAGGCACCGCGCGGACCTGAGCGGGACCTCGCCGTCCCTGGGGGGCTGCGATCTGCGAAACTGTCGCCACTTTCGAGGGCGGCTGGTGGGTCCTGCGGACTGAGGCACCGCGCGGACCTGAGCGGGACCTCGCCGTCCCTGGGGGGCTGCGACCTGCGAAACTGTCGCCACTTCGAGGGCTGCTGGTGGGTCCTGCGGAGCGAGGCACCGCGCGGACCTGAGCGGGACCTCGCCGTCCCTGGGGGGCTGCGATCTGCGAAATTGTCGCCACTTTCAAGGGCTGCTGGTGGGTCCAGCGGAGTGAAGCACCGCGCGGATCTGAGCGGGCCTTCGCCGTCCCTGGGGGGCTGCGATCTGCGAAATTGTCGCCACTTTCGAGGGCTGCTGGTGGGTCCTGCGGAGTGAGTCACCGCGCGGAT